GAGATCTCAATTTCAGTGAAAATAATCGTGATTATCATTTTTGCCATAATCGATCAGCCCTATTCACATTTGTTCCAAAAAAAATGACAATTCTGCCTTTTGCCTCCCAAATACAGGGTTATGGTGTGGTTAGGGTTACCACCTATGCTAACGTAAACCTCAGATCATTTAAAGTCAATTGTTCTCTTGGTCAAAGTGACTGCTATTATATCCGTTTGATATTGTGCAAACTTTTCAAATGTTTTCTTATCACTTCCCTTTGATGAAAATACCAAATGCATTTAGGAAAGTGTTCAACAAAAGATACAGGAGGTAATATTATTGACCTTTAGACGTCATCCCAGGTTGCTAGGAAAATTTCTTCAATTTGAAGCTAGTTTAGCTGCAGATTTGATGATGTTTATAAATGAGAAAAATGTTTGCCAGTTTATGGCACACATTGGAGGAAACGACTGACTACTCAGTCCTAAATTGCAAAGACACTGTAACCCATTAAATGATTCGACTTAAATGTAAAGTACAGTTAACTGTTGATACTAAATCCCTGGAAATGTAATAAAAAAATCCCAGAAAAGCAGTAAATCACTGTCACGTACTGACTATAATTTACCATAGCTGATGATTGACACTATGAGAGCAACTGCCAATGTTCAGTAGCTAAACTGTTTTAGCTCTAAATTATACCACATAAACAAATCATACTTCAGATTCCCTCTGCAAACCTGGATCCTTCCAGTGGCGAGCAGCGATGCAAACATCGGAAAGGGAGAAAACAACAACAAAAACTACAGCATTAAGAGTTGTTGTGGCTGCATTTGCGTAAATGGTAAATAATGGCATTGTTTGCTCAAAAGAAGCTCAGACAACTTTTGTTCAGCATACTACACAAAGTGTAATACAAGCTTAAAGCACAGGAGTCTGATTACAGCAGTGAAGTAAAGGGAGACTACAGTTCAGCAAACAACTGTTAACATGAAACAGGTTTCCAGGTCACTACTGAAAAGGCCCTAACCAAACTGTTCCCTCTCATTTTACAAGAAGAATGCACAGACAGGAAAACTGCACAGAAAGAGGAAGCAGCCTGACAGAGGTCGGAGTTCAGCAAAGTTGTCAAGCGTGTTTGCTAAAGCGGTACAATGTGTAGCTGGAATGCTGTTCCCAGCCGGCAGCCAAGGAAAGTAATTTCTCCTGCATGAATCTGAACTCAAAAGAATAGAATGCAGCATCCTTAATATGAGAAAAGTCATTCACTTTGCAGAGCAGCGGGAGGTGGACTTAATCCTCACAAGCTCTGACAGTAAAAGCCCGAGATATTCCACATACAGGAAACATCAGAGCAGCGTTACTACAAACGAGCTGCTTTCCTTTATAATGTTGCAGTGCATTTCGTGTATCCTCTCTGATGCCTGCAGACGCTCTCTGTGTGAGTTGTTGCTGCAGTCTGTGTGCGTGGAGTTTCCCCACAACTCTTTAAAGTAGAAACGGTGTGTGGTAGCTTCAGATACTGATACCCTCCTGCTAGGGTTACAAAAGAAACGAGCTAGTAGTTTCACTTGTGCAAAAAGGAATGAACCTACGCCTGCACGCGCACAACCATACACAAAGAGCTCTGCCCTCTACGACAACATCCCTTCCCTTTTCTAGTCTAACAAAGAACTAATAAATCTGCCCTTCCTTTGAAAGCCTGAGCCCGGGGCTACAATCAGCTATGGCTTTTTTTATATTCACATTATGTGGATCAAAGAAAGCATTTATAGAAATTCAAATTAGTTTATAAATGTGAACTCTTAGGTTTTCACTGACTGCTCACTGCTCAGACAGCAGGAATAAATGACAAACAGGAGAAATGTAAACGGTCTAGAGCAGGGGTGTCAAACTCAAATACACAGTGGGCCAAAATTCAAAACTGGAACAAGGTCGTGGGCTAACATAATATTTATTGGAAAAAAAATCTTCCTCCAGATTTAAGAATGAATCTCTTCTTATGGACTCAAACAAGTTTTGCTGAAAAACTGAATATGGAACGAGCAAAGCTTAATACTAAACAATATATATATTAGCTGTATAATACCAGTAGGCCAGCTCTAATAATAATTTGGTATGGCTTCGCGGGCCAAATGTAATTAGGCTGCGGGCCAAATTCGGCCCGCGGGCCAGAGTTTGACACCTATGGTCTAGAGGAATACATACACAACAAGAGAAAGGCACACAACAGAAAAGTCAGCGTGTTGCAGGAAGACAAAGTAAAAAGGCTTTAAAAACACAAAAAGGTGCAATATTAGCCGCTGCATACGTCTGTATGCGCCGGCATCATTGGACTGTGTTACATTTAAAAGTTTTAAAGCCACAAAGAGAACTTAAGGAGGACACTGCTCAGTATCTTACCCCATCTTCAGCTGGCTCAGAACGTGCTCTCACTGGCGAGTTAGCAGCCAAAGAGAACACATCGTCTGTGTCATTGCTTGGCTTCCAGTAAAATTTTGAAATTGCTAAGACCTTATTCTAGCATCAGCCCTCTCCAATCATCAGATCAAGGCCTTTTAACTATTCCCCATTTAGAACAACACTTCCTCAGCTCATCAGGCCGTTTGAATCCCAGTGAAAAGGGGTTTGTACAATTCTGATGAGCTTGAGACTCCATATTTGGTATGACCACCTTTTTTTCTCATGACCCCCAACACCAGCAGCCCCAAACCATGACAGTGCAAGAATTTAAAATATGGATCGGACCCATGGACACTGATTTTCAGCCTAGTTATAAGTCTGCAGCCTTTTCTCGCAGCTTATCTTCCTTAAGAGTGACTGAAGATAGTTCTCCAGGTTTAGTCTGAAGCCTGGAGAACTATCGTGTAAGACCACCTTAAAAGACATCAAAGCCTGTCTTATTTTAAGCAAAACACAAAGAAATGAAGTGTAGCTCAAAGCTTTTAAGTTTAACATACCTTAACTTTGCCTTGGCCTCCTCCTTCTCCCACTCATTAAGGAGCCTGGGCACCATGACTTTGGAGCTATCGCGCTTGTTCAGAGACCACAGGTCTTTGGCCTCCAGGGGCATTTTGTAGCCCTTTACAGCCATACTGGGAAAGAGAAGCAGCAGCTTAATTCAATCTGTTACATTAAAGCAATTCATTGCTACAAGTGTGACTGAAACAAATGAGACATTATCTAAATGGTTAAAGTGCATTTTTGCCTCTTTTTTTTTCTGTTTAGTTTGCTTTGATTCATTGCCAACATGTAACACTAAAATTCTTTATCCCAGAGCCATCTTACGAATACATGTTGTCCTCAAAAACACTTAATTGAGTTTACTGAATTAGCTAATGATCATTATGTATAACTGGATTGAATTTCACCGGAAACTGGCCTCGTGTTTTTTTCGCCCACAGAGATAGACATATACAGTCTCTCTGCATGTCTATGCAGAAATAACAGATAATAATAATAATAATATTATGATATTGCAGTATTTAATAAGCAAAAGCTACATTATAAACTATGTAATTATAATCACAGTGCAAACTACCCTCATGTTTTGACATCATGTGATATAGTAAGTAAACAAACTCTTTAGTGACAGGTTTGGCTAAACAGTGATTCATGAAAAATTATCAGGAAATAATATTTGTAGCACAGAGTAACGGTGCCAGCAACATTTCTTTTTTTTTCTTCAAAAGGTATTAAACAACTAATAAACTGTAACCAATAAACTGTACAATGAAGGAGTAAATAACTCTTACATTTAGATAAAGTTGAGGTCAAGCAATACTAAATAATATAGCCACAGTATGTGTGCATTAAAAAGAGGACTGAAGGGTTGAAGCACTAATATAATAGTCTGCCCCAGGGCAGCTGTGGCTACAACTGTAGCTTGCCTCCACCAGTGTGTGAATGGGTGGATGACTGGGTGTGTAAAGCACTTTGGGGTCCCTATGGGGGACTAGTAAAAGCGCTATACAAATACAGGCCATTTACCATGAATGAAGGAATGTTAGGATGGTTTATGATGTCCTTACATTTATTTATTACCATGGCAACTGCAGTCACTATGAGAGATGTGAACAAAAATCACACTTTTATCATTCTGCATGTTTGAACACAGTGAATCCTGTGTAAACAGCCACTAACGTAATGACATATATTATTAATTGTGGGTTAGCTAACATAGCGTGGAACAAGCTAACAGCAAAAGTAACAGCGTTTTCTACGCTTCTTCATTCAAGCTGCACTAATGGTCTGTTTTTTATGACTGCAAACGTTTTACATTTTACCACCAACTGTGGTCGAGGTAAGTCGACACTGCTTTTTTTGTTCAGTTTCACTGCGTTTATGATCACTGCAATAAAAAAGGAGAAAGGAAAGGAGAAACTAGCGCTAATCTAAACGACAACAGTATGAAGCCAGATGACTCTCAGGCTAAGCTAAGTGAGATAAGTCCAAATAAATTAGCCTATTGATTTAAATTATTTTCTTTTTTTAAGAAGGCTAATCCATCTTGAGAAAAAAACCCAAACTGAAGATTTAACAGACTAGCACGTCCTACTATATTCACAGAACTACAAAAACTGCTTGAAAAATGAATAGCAGGGTCTAAAGATGGTGAAACGAACACCTCAGAGTCTTTAAAGCCCCAAAACTTTTAGTGTATACCACAAACTGTTGGTCTATGGAGGTTGGTTTGGTGGCAGACAGCAATGTTAGCTTACCTTGTGAACCACCAAAAAGTGATCCTTGAGAGAAAACCTGCTGTAGCTTCAGGGCAAGGATTCTGGGGGAGGGGAAAAGAGGATAAGTGTGCATAATATGAGACCAGGGAAGTTAATTGAGGATAAAGAGGACATACTGAGAACTGGATTCAGTGTGTGACTGTGTGACCTGCTTTAACAAGCACAGAGCTGCCCCGGAGCGTGCTCAGACTTTCAGCTACTCAGAACACTGACTTTATGGTGTGAGCAGGAAAACACAAAAGTTATTTATGAGCGGACTGTGACCGATTACTCACAGGGTCAGTGACAACATTGGAGAAGAGAGGAGGTTTCTCGTTGAAGCAGCAGAGAATGAACTCGCAGACCACCATGCTGAAGTAGAAGTAGAAAGTGGTGAACCGCAGCTTATCTGTGACTTCGCCCTGTAAAGTATAACAAGAACACACACGCAGACACATCGTGAATTTGAATCATGTGCAGGAAACTTCTCTTGCATTATGCTTTCATTGTTCCTTTAAAATGAGGTCTGTACTTAAACCAATATATATGAAAAATAAAAGCTGAAACCTAAGGCTCACAATATCAGATCCTAATTATAACAAGTGTGTATCTTATTCTTTTTGAAAACAAGACATCAGCTTTTATCAGTTTTTGGGATGAGATGGCTTTTTGGAAAACACAACATGTCCCTGAAGTACCAGTCCACGACAGCAGTCACCTCAAGGAGCGTTTAAATCCTACAATATTATATAGAAACCTCAACATTCACACGACCCCCTGTGAGAAAGCCTTTGGCGACACTGGAAAGTCCAATTCCCTTTTAACAGGAGGAAGCCTCCAGAGCAACCAGGCTTCAGGGAGGGCCGGCCCCCTGTCATAACCTCCTCTAACAGATGAACAATGTTATTCCTCAACTGCACCTTTCAGACCTGCAGCTATATCAGAAT